AAAGCTCTCGATAGGTGTAAATATACGCTAGATAGGGACCACGTGGCGTGTAACTGTCAACAAAGAGGATCGCGCTAATTAACGAAACGCCATAACGAGAATTATTGCCGACTCGAAAGCTTTTCCACGCCGATCGAGCGTGGCATCATCGCGCTCGTCTTGCGTTTAATGAATTGTTCATCGAGATGAAATGCAAAGTGGCTCGTAAAGTATACAACTCGTTCGTTATACGATCGCTCGTGTAAGTATCAAAGGGCCCCCCTTTAAAGACCCCACTTTCCGCTTGTACACGGTCCTTAGGTACAAAGGGGATCGTTCATCGCTTCCAGAAGTCGCGAAAGAAGAACGAGGCTTCGACGAACACAACGACCAACGTTGATACTCCAATTCGACAACTGACTCCTTCGCTAACTGTTAGGAAGAGGGACAAATATTCTCAGGCACTGTCGATTGTATCATTGTGTCATTCCATGTCTATCGTCTCTGTATACCGCGTATTTAATTTGATAAAATGGAAAATAACGGTCGATGCAATGATCCATTTTTCCAAACGTACGTGAATACAAAACAGTAGAGACCTCGTTCAAAGCGGAATTAGATCGAAAATGTCGATGGTAGCGGGTTGAATCAACAAAGTTGCCTCTCTGTCGAACGTTGGTTTCTCACACCGTCGACATTGAGATCCGTTCTTTCTTGGTTCGTTGCGTTCGTTACAGATTTGTTCCGAATCGCGGCATTGCGACACGGTTTCGCGTTCCTCGGTTCGTTGCGCGTTGGTTAACGGATACAATGTCGTTCGCTTTGTGCTCGGTGGAGAGAGAAAAAGAAAAAAAAAAAGGGCGACGAGAAGAGGGACGAGGGGGAGGAGGGAAAAAAATGGCGAAACACAGCCAGCGGAACCGAAGGAGGGGGACAGCGCACCCGTTCGCGCGTTTTCAGCTCCTTCGATCGCCGCGGTCGTAATTAATTTAAGTGACTCGCTGCCGCTTTTTGCAAATCCGCGGCAAAAATCGAACCGTGGCCTCCGCTACGGCGATCTTCACGCTCACGGGGATCGGTTTCTTGCGCGAATGTCAAGGTCCCCCACCGTACGATCCGCGATTTAGGTTATTGTACCAAACGCTCGGGAACTTCCCGCGAAAGCGACAACGAAAACTTTACGCGGGAACGGCTTAAATTATACGGAGACCGCGTGAGGAAATTGGGACGGGTTTTATCGCGAATTTGACGGAAGATAAAAGGACACCGTAAAAGAAAATACGACCTAGTACCATTCTCCATCCTCGTGTTTTAAAAAATTATCATGGAAACATGAACTATAGTATTTATAAAAATTCAAAACTATAACAACTCTAAAGAGTACACAATTCTCTGTTTACTTCAACGAAAACAATGGGATTATTCGTTTTATCGCGAATTTGACGGCAGATAAAAGGACACCATAAAAGAAAATACGACCTAGTACTATTCTCCATCCCCGTATTTAAAAAAATTATCTTGGAAACACGAACCATAGTATTTATAAAAATTCAAAACCATAACAACGTTAAAAAGTACACAATTCTCTGTTTATTTCAACGAAAACAATGATTAAACGATTATTCGTTTTATCGCGAATTTGACGGAAGATAAAAGGACACCGTAAAAGAAAATACGACCTAGTACTATTCCCCATTCTCGTATTTTAAAAAATTATCTTGGAAACACGAACTATAGTATTTATAAAAATTCAAAACTATAACCACACTAAAGAGTACACAATTATCTGTTTATTTCAACGAAAACAATGGGATTATTCGTTTTATCGCGAATTTGACGGAAGATAAAAGGACACCGTAAAAGAAAATACGACCTAGTACTATTCCCCATTCTCGTATTTTAAAAAATTATCTTGGAAACACGAACTCTAGTATTTATAAAAATTCAAAACCATAACAACGTTAAAAAGTACACAATTCTCTGTTTATTTCAACGAAAACAATGATTAAACGATTATTCGTTTTATCGCGAATTTGACGGAAGATAAAAGGACACCGTAAAAGAAAATACGACCTAGTACTATTCCCCATTCTCGTATTTTAAAAAATTATCTTGGAAACACGAACTCTAGTATTTATAAAAATTCAAAACCATAACAACGTTAAAAAGTACACAATTCTCTGGTCATTTCAACGAAAACAATGGGACTATCGAGTCCATATGGGACCCACGTTATAAAAGGGTCCAGTTATTTATTTCAAGCGTGACAAACATAATTTGGGGTCCGCCAATTTTTCGGACACTCGAACAATCTTATCGTCGCTACCGAAGCGGGAGCAAAGAAAGAAATTTGAATTTGATTAAAACCAGGCGGAACGCTTTGAAACGAATCAACCGCGTAAGTGGAGGACTTACCATACATTATAAATACCGAGATTAGCATTTCGGTCAACTTTTTGGTATTTCCAACCACCGTGCGCCAACGACTTCGCCTTTTTTTTTCTCTTTCCCCGCGCGACGACCAGAAACACTTTGAGAACTGGTTGCACGCGCACTATATTTTTCTTCGATTTATTTTTTATTTGCACACACGCGTTTATCCGTTATGTACGACCAACACCGACTTAACGAGCCGCCGCTGGCTCTTTTTCGAACCGGGACCATCAATTTCCCCGCATTATACATATTCAATACGAGCAGATTTGTCAAGCAACCGAGCAAGTTTTCTGTTTTTCACCGTCAACGTGCGCGTACCCGCTAGGTTATGCGTCCCCATCGCTAATTTCCCATGTCGAATAAGTTGCTCCCGTTTAATATTATTCCTGGCTCCAATTGAATAATCCCCGCGAATAAATTAATCTCTTCCGTTTCTGCCGATTTGCGTTCAACGAAAGTGCGTCAAAGTCGATGCAGATTAATATTTTTCAATTTCGAAAATCCCTTGCATTAATTACCCATGCACCAGCTACTCCATGATTCGTGCTGAACTTCCGATCTGCTCGATCGGCGTTTCCTAGCAAGGATCCGCCGTTCTTTCGCGGTCCCGACGATTCGCAAGAAGCAAATAAGAGTCAATCTTTTCTCGATTGGTTCCGTTCGGTGTTTTACGCCGTTTTCTTTTATCAAAGTTTACAGATCTTCGAAGGTATACGATTCCGTGATTGGTGATCCTGGTGCCGTGGGGGAAGCGCCACACCGCGCGGTCAACTTTTTCCCCCGTTGCTCCATTAATTAATGTCCCGTTTCTTGCACGATTTATGCTAAAAAGTCCGGGAACCCAGAACCGACAGATAAATACTTATAATACTTATAACCCTTCACTGCTATCGTGAGGTATTTTGACGTCCCAATCGCCGCGTTTTGGTAAACATGGTACCCTTGCAATCAACATTATAATCCTCTAACTTCAAGATATCTTCCGTCAGACTTTATTCGATCCATTTTGAGAGAAATAACGCGTTGATCCAAGGCAAACATTTGCATCGAGTTCGTTAAAAGTTGATCGTTCGGTTTAAAAATTTTTAACAGCCGTGTCGATGCATAACCGACCGTATAAAATAAGAGCAATCGTAAAAGGCGGCGGTTTTTTGCTGCCCGGAGGGCCGGAAGTAGCAATAATACCGGTTAGCAGCCAATTGTTGCCTTTTTAGGGGCTCGACGATAGTAAGAAGCCTTCGTCGTCGTCACGGGACGCGATGAATCGGTCGCAGTTCGTGGATCGCGCGAGGAATCATCCGGATAAAGGCGGCGGCGTTTCGCGACACGAAATCGACGAGGATTTTTGCTGGAAACCTTATCGAGCGAAACGGACGACGCCGTGGAAAATGTCAAGGCCTCCTTTCCATTCGAAATGCTTTTTCTCTCACGTCGAACAGCCACACCGTGCTCGTGCGCGCGAGAAGAGAGAAAGAAAAAAGAAAAAGAAATAAAGAATCACCATCAAACGACAAATGTCGCGGCGATTGTCTGCTAATGCATCGATCGTAAATCTTTCGATTTCCCTCGGTGTCGACGGGGCACCGGGTAGCGGCCGCGTGTCGCCGATAGTTTATCTAATTACGCCACCGGGAAACGATTCGTTGCGATGATATAAACGCGCTGTCCGCTTTGAGCGTCGACGAAAAAATCGTAACCGCGGTCTTGTCCGACAACGAGCCATCAATTATCGTCTAGTTTTATCTGTCAACGAGCCACGACGGGACAAGCGGAACACGACAGCCAGGCCCCGATAAATCGGCAACAGTATGCCGATTTGGTTATTCGAGTGGAACCGTTTTTCCATAGTCTCGACAGGGATTGCACCGCGATCTAATTACGCGTACAAACAACCGGCTAACGATTTTATCGGCCGAGATACGCCGCTGGGGGATACCGATTTCGTCACTCGCGAGATGGCTAAATCGCTATCCTTAGTTTAGAATGAAAATATACGAGGGTCGTTCGATAAGTCCTTAGAAAAAAACAAATTATTTTAGGTAGATTTTTTTGTAATTTTCAACATAATCCCTGTTTAACTCTATATACTTTTCCAACCGTTTCTCCAACTGTTCTAGGCCATCTAAAAAGTAAAATTTCGAAAGGTCCTCAGAATAGGTGTCTGTTTGGAGGATGACCTCTTCGTTCGACCTGAACCATTGTCTACCGAGCCATTTTTTTAAGTTTGGAAATAAAAAATGTCACTGGGGGCAAAATCCAGTGAATACAGTGGATGTTGCAATAATTCGAACTGTAATTCCATGATTTTGGCCATCGAAACAGCACAGATGTGCAAGAAAAAGTTCCTTGCTTCGACGATAAAAATGAAACCATGTGGTGGATAAAACCGAGACTTTGACAATTGTCTAGTGAGTCACGATGCTCGCTAAAAACATTCTAAAGACTCACCGAACGAGCCTCGTAACTCGAGCAGATGATCGCAAAAATTGAAAACCGTATCTTCTCCGTGGTCTGCTCCGTATGGGACAGCGGTCGATTCGAGATTTCTTTTTCGAAGAGAGAAAATAAACGAGGCAAGTACCTACCTGAAGAAGTCCTCCCTGCAGAATAGCTTGGCCTCCCTGGAGAAGCACTTGTCCTGCAACGTGATTCTGCAATCGAAGCAGCGTACGCACTCGATGTGCCACGCTCGGTCCAAAACATTCAGCAGGTACTGATCCATAATTGGTTTCTCGCATCCTGCACATGACAGGAGCATCGCCAAACCGCGTCTACCTGCTGCGGGAAGAAAGAGAGCAATTCGTGAATAATCGAGAGGCGGCTACGTGTTCGTATTTTAATATTATACGTCCCCCACGTCCACGGACGCGCGATGCAGTCCGAAAAATATATCGGTTGGAGCACGGGGGAACGTCGGGAAAGGCGGTCGACGAGGTGTTTTAATTTTCCGCGCGTCCAAACGCGACCGTGCACGCGCGTCACGACGCGAAAAACGAACCGGTTAACGCGACAAAATTCTGTCACGCGTGCCACGGCCGTTTTGACAGACCAAACCGACGATGAAGCGTTTTCGAATCGTCCCACATACGGCTCTCGCTGTTCCAACGGAACTCGCGACACATTTCCGGCTATGAAAAGGTCTCTTTAACGCGTCGCTTGGAAAATTGTTGGTAATTTCAATTATAAAGTGCGTTAAAAATTTTTAATCTCTGATACACTGGCAGAGAATCTGTTGAAAATTTCATAACTCGATGAACAAAAATCGTACGTTGACTTTTAAGGGATCGTTGCACAGAGAACACTTGTCCCTTTGAATTAATTGTGAAACGAATCACGAGAAAAATTTATTAAGTTCAGTGGAGTCGTTTGAACATGGACATTTTAACTAATCTAACTTAAATTCAAACTAATAATTATTTAATATACGTCAATGTAATTATTTGACAATTTATGTAATCTTCTGTCAGTTAATTATTGTTTAAACGCTTTAAAGGAAGATTGGTTTCCATTTACCAGTTCGATAAAAATCGGTATTATGTGAAACGATTCAGTGGAGATTGAGAGTCCACCGAAGGGTTAAATTATCGACACCTTAATTTTAGGTAATGCGTTCTAATAAGCATCTCGTCTAATTCTGTCGTTCTACGGACGATGGTCGAAGCCACGGAAATTATATAATTAATTCTTCGTCGGGGACACGTGATTAGTACGGGCGTCGCGACGCTCTGCGCGCAACAATTAGAAGCCGTTTATACGGAACACGTGCTCGGCCACATTGAAACATTCCTCGATTGCCGATCAGATTCCAATTTGAAAGAAAATCACGTCGGTCCGAGCACGTGCATAACGAACACGCGCGCTGCGCCCGGTAGAACTTTTTTGTAATTCGAACGGTTTGATTACCGTGCAGTCTACCGAACTACAACGGAACAGAGGAACCGAGGCGCGAGCGTAAAAGTGCACAACAATGCGACTTCCCCATTGTTAGTGTCGAAGCAACCGCGTCCTAGCCCGATCGGGGAAAAAGCGGGGGTTGGCTTTTTCGAACGATTAAAAACAAATAGAACCTCCCACGTGTCGAACACTGATACAGTTAAATTTAATCCCGGGTGTTCTACGGCCACTCCATTTAATCCTCTGTGTGCCCCAAATATTATTTAGCCACGGGACGACATTATACGACGGGACTTTGTTCGAGGCTCGTATTCAGATTTTCGACCGAATTAGAACGTATTGAATCGTTTCGAAATTTCCGTACCTCTTGACATTGATTATCCTCCGTCAACGTGACCTCAGGAATCATGGTTCCTCAGACGTCATTCGAACAGACGGAAATATCCACGTATCGTAAGAGGGGGGTTGAAAAATGAGTATCTTTTGGAGAACTTGCAATTGATTGAGCTTGAAGGTTTAGGTCAAGGTCAATTTTCTGGGGATTATTTCCAACAGATCTCACTTTACTGGTCGTGGAATATAATTTCCTTGGACTCTGCACGTTTCTTTTTCTAGTTATGCGAGCACAGGGTGGGTAATTAATATTTAAAATTCAATTTCCTTGGTAATGTCTTTCCTGTTGAATTCTTAATGCCTCGAGATTACTTTGGCCCAAGATTTTGGGCGACTCAATCGCGATTTCTAACTGACTATGCAAAGAAAACTGAAACGTTGCTCCAAAGTAGGGAACGACTAAATTTTTAGCCAAAGATACCCCTCGGACAAAGCAAGGGTTGAACAAAGAACATACTGGCGTCGGTACGCGAACTAGAAGTCGTTTAAAGGAGAAACTTAGCATTCTGTTCCAGCGAATTAAACGATAGCACTCCGGGTCTCGATAGTTCCATTAATTGATTGTCGATAATCAACGATTCCGCGAACGCTTTTCGATCGAGAGGGGCGCAATACCGTTCGACGAGCTGTTCCAGCGATTATAGTTCATTGTCGATTAACATTCGTGGCCGAGTTTGCCCTTTATTACGCTTTCCTTGCCCTCCGTCTCTCTCCCTCCTTCTATCTACGCGTTCTCTCCTGTCTCTCTCTCTCTCTCTCTCTCTCCCGCCCGACCTCTGACTTCTTTTTTCGCCATTGCTGAACCCTCTAGGGTTCTCTCCTCTCTTTTTTCCGCGGTTTCCGCCAATGGGCGGAGTTCCTCCCTGCTGGCAGGGTTGTCAACCTAGCAACCCTTCTCCCACCCTTAAGGTCTGACCTTGCGCATCTCATCTCCCTCCGTGCCGCGGGAGGGCGAGAAGAAAAAGGAGAAACGCGACCTCGACCATCCCGCAGTTACCTCAAGATTTAAATCGTTCCACGGGAAATCGACTTACGAGTATAATTCCTCCGGCGAAATTGGCTTTCCAACGAAAATTCGGTTTTACGGGGGGAGGGGGTGAAAAAAAATAAAATCAACGCGTCGAACCAAAGTTCGCAAATTTTTGGGAACTCGTCGATCGAGACTTTGCGAAAAATCTGTAGGAAACACGAGTGTAAATTTGAAATTATTTCTACCCTTAAAAACCAGTAAATTTCTTTTAGATTCTTTTCTAAATTGGTTTCCATTTCGGTTTCGGTTTCGGTTTCGATTTCGAGTCGATGGTTAAGCAAGCCAGCGAACCAAGGATATCGCGATCGTCCGCAGTCAAACGGTTAATGGGTGGAAGAAATGCAAGAAAAAAAAGTGAAAGATTATGTTAGATATTCCCCCGGAGAAGGAAAGTCGAGCAATTTCTGGATAAATTGTATCGAGAACGATGCAGCGGTAATTTCTCAATCGTAGTGCACGCGATGCAAATAAACAAAAACGCTTATTAAATTAGATATTACTCTTTTATTACACAATTTGCCTCTTTTCACGACTCGTTAAATCGAACTTGAAAATATTCCTTTATTTGATTCTTTTCTTACGGGATCTGTCATTCTCTATTAGTATAACTCTTCTGCCTGTATAATTAAACGCCAAAGCCCGTAGAAAACGTGAATGCAAATGTTTCGTGCATCAGGATTAATTAGGATCGTTACATCGCCATACCATTACAGATTATCTCACCAACATGTTGGCATAATTTTATGCGTCTATGGTTTGCATAGGCGGTGTAACTTGTGCGAAATAGCGGTGTTTCGCTCGTCTAATAAATCGGGGAATAAAGAAGCACGTAACAGTAATTCCGCTAATCTCTTGCAAACTATCTTGAGGGGCGCGAACGATGGTTTGACGATTTAAAAACATTGAAAAGTTGTAACAGCAGAAATATGGAGGGGAAAACGTGTCTGTCTACATCGTGGATGCCATAGATGGCGGAGATAATGTTATCAGAAATATCCTCCGTTTCCGAAATCAGATTTCACGGACGAAACGCGCGTGCTGAAGACACACGGTGGAACAGAGGGTAAGATTTCCTTGAATCGTCCAAAACCAGATTAGGATTAAGTCTACGTGAGACGAATGCCTGGACTGTCCGGCGAAAACGGTTCGATTAATCCGATTCATTTCTGCTAAACGTGCGACGCGTGCCACCCTTTACCGGAACCGCCACTTTGTCGACTTAATAACAATCCGAAAATTTCACAAAGCGCGTATCGCAAAATATAATTTCGCGAGGAACCGCGGGTGGGAAATTCGATTGACCGTGCTGATGTTCATTCCCTTTGCATCCGACGCTCGAAATTATCTCACCCCCCTCACCGCCAAAAATGTTCATTCCCTTCTAATTAAACGGAAAAGTACGAAAATTGGATAGCGATACTTAACAAAGCGTTTAAATCGATTTGGAAACGCGCTAATCCGATAATTTCGAAGGCACGTTTCGAGCAATTCGACCATTTTTCAATCGGAATCTTTCGATAACGTTCTTTGACTATCGTTTCGTTTGCCCGGGCGAATTAATGAAGAATCTAACGAGCTTGGGAGATGACCAAGAGTCGATTTGCATTCTTCTTTTAAATATAATCACGCCCGGTCCTGGGAGCCCCGATAAATTATTAGTTTCGGGCCTCGTCGATCTGTAGCTGGCCTCCGAAGCAATAAATATCGCTCGTAACGAATCGATCTAATAACAGAGAGTCCGAAGGATCGAACAAATCGATGCTGTTACAGTCTTTGTTAACGTTAATGTATACGTCCGAACGGCGTATTTGACTAGCGGTAAACGATGACTTTCGAAGTAAAATAAGAAAATCAATGATTTAAGAGACGGAACCCTCGCTAAACATTGTCCCGATGTAATTGATAAGACGATAACTCAACCAGGAGCGAACAATGGATGCTATTTAGGACAAAATTCTATTCGTATAATAGGTAATCAATAAGAGCCACGCGTAGCGATTTAACAATGACGTTCAAGATCCCTTGCCCGTCTCTATTTTTCTTCGACCCTTTCCAAAGGGCAACGCCGCCCTAAAACACTCGCGGTTTGAATTTCCGCGCCGCCGCGGTCGAGTCACGGAAAGAACAAAAACAGAGCGACGCTGTTAATGGAATGCCGGAAGCGCGATTTAATTCCCCTCGCTTTAAGAATTTTAGAGGTAGATCGGACTAATTAACGAGAAAAAGAGTAAAAACGAATCGAACGGATACACGTTTTAACGGGTGGGGGGGGGAGGGACTCGTTCGCGATTTACAACCGGCAACGACACGTAAACACAGCCATTGAACCCGATAGAATGTTTTACTATTCTCCATCGACGCGCTAAGTAAAACACTCGTCCTCTGCCCGTCGCTACCATTCTCGATTCTCTGCTTTCCTAAATACTAAAAGGTCGTCGAAAAAAAAATTCTAATTCTATCGAAACGCTCTGAAGACGAAAACGATGGTGATAATTGTATTTTAAGAGATCCTAGACTACGGGAATATTGTATTTCGATGATTCTGAGCGTCGTGAAGAAATAAAATGGCCATATGGCTGTAACGGGGACGATAGGGTTGACGTATTGTTGGGAATTGGACGTTCCACGTGGAAATGGTTACTTTTATTACGTTACAAATCAGTTCCTCTGTTTCACGTTAATGAAAACCATGCATAAACGTTGAGTTCCGAGTAATATGTACTTGTCCGATCGGTACATCGTTCGTAGCAAAAAGACCACCACTCTGCCGGATAATCGGGTCCGTGCATAATCCGGACCCGCGTTCGCGCATCCGCGAAGATGACGATTTCCTCGGATCGCTAGTTCGTTACGCGCAATGACGCGTATTTCGACGCGTGTTCAACCCTGTCCGAGGCGAATTCATCCTCGTTAGATCCGAACCGCGGGACGATCCATCAACATGGGAAAAAAGAAGACGCATTCTTTATGACATCCAAATTACAGTACGATCAATCACGATAAAGGAACGAACGGCGTTTCTTGCCGTCTACAAAAAGTCTTTAAGAAACCGCTCCTCTGAACTCGTATCGCGGAAAATTCCGTGGGACTGAAAAACCCTCGGCCCTTCGCGATCTTCGACGTCCTCTGCGACCAGTCACCGACTTATTTTTTCATTCCGCGATCCGACGATCTCTTTACCAACGCTTTCGTTTAAGTTTGGGACTTATACACGCGTCAGATATCGAATTTTTGGTCGACGAGTTCTTTCGAGACCGAAACAATACATGATAAGTAAGTTCTATGATATTAAATTGGGTCAATATACAATGAATCTCTACGATAAACCGACACTTCGAATTGGAAAAGGTGATGGAAGAAATAGAAATAATATACCTGTCGAATTACGAATATATATGCTCAAGATGAAAAGAGACCAACGGCAATATAGCACAGTATTTGATAACAGATGACTCATCCCGAAGTATGTAGTATTTTTATTGCACAAGTGTAATTCCGAATATTAAAGACGTGAAAGTTGGCAGCGGGAGAGTGAAGTTTGACACGATGGATGATTGGCGATTGGCGTGCAAAAGTTCATTGTGTGCGCGCGCGCGCGTCATTTCGCGGGATGAAAAATAGAAATCGCGCGATAATGATTTTTGTAACGTCGAGGGTTGCACGGTAAATATTAATTACGTAAATTCCGGGTGTTGATTCGATCCTCCGAATACGATAAAATATGTTCCTTTTTGCGCAACAAATTCTTCTTTATATACTTCATATTTTAATTAAAAAAAAAAAAAAAAAAAATGTTTTAATATTTCGGGCATTTCTGCTAAACGAACGAAAGTTAATCGATAATCAATTAACGGAACTGTTGCAACGGTAAATGTTTATTGCTCGATCCGGTCGTTTGAATTTTTAAAAAAATGAAAATATATTTCTTTTTTTTTTTTTGTGTGTGTACGATGAATTTTGTTTCTCTCTTGAAACAACGAAAAAGAGTCGAAAATTGATTAGCGTGGAAGTTATGATTGTAGTTCGGAATTCCAATATACGCGACACACGAGTGTGCGACACTGGGTGGTCCCCGATCATTTATAGTACCTTCATCGAAAGCAGTATTAATGTCTCGCGTTCCCTCAGTCGCGCTATGTCCGAGTTTCAACTCGTGCAATTAACTTATTCGAGTCCTCTCCTTCCACACGGTAAACAGAAACGACTTTAAACTTATTTACGCGCGAAACGCCGCTAGACGCTGGCAGAAAAAAAATGTTTACTCCGAGCCTCTTCTCCGCAAAGGTGCTCTACAACTACGGAGTATATCCCAACACGATTATCAAAAATTCACTGTTTCGCCCCACCTTATGCAGAACAGCTCCGTTGCAAAGAAGGCGTATTATTATTGCTATAAAAGTATGTAAATCCCATGAATATTCATGGCCCCGTATCCTAATGAATCAGCTTAGTGTATCGTATCTCGAAACAGTTGTCTGAGCTCCGAATAATAAATGTTAGGAAGCGAATAACTATGTCGCCTATGGGGGGGAGTTAATCTCCCCCCGTACACGATTTAAAAAAAATTAATGATTCAAAGGAGTCGGAATCTTCCGTATAAACTTCGAGTGCACGTCACACATGCGCAGTTTACGCTATAAAATTATATCCGTACAAGATTATCAACTACGGAATAGTATGTACCATCTTTACAGAGTTTAGTTTCCCTATATATTCTCCCTAAGCATCTACGCAGGACACAAATCTCTGCTCCTCCCTTTCATACCAACTATGTCAGTAATAAACTTATCTCTAGAATGTGTGCAAACATTGCCCGCTACCATGTGGATTTCTTTACGAACTACAATGATTCATATTCTCAAGGCTTGCAGTCACGTCTATCCGTACGCGTTCGCCACATTTTTTTGTCGCGCGTGCTCCAAAATGACGAGTCTTGGCCACCATTGGTGGGGTAAAACTAGGCAGTGCGCCCCCGCCTTTGGAGATAAAATCAGTAAACAAAATATTTTTCAGTGTTTACGACTAAGACAAGTGTCGTCTGCAACCTTGACACAACAGTGGACCGCACAATATTCAGACGTTTAAAAATTTTACACGCAAGTTCGCTAAAATTATGTTCGAGAGACTCCCAGGGGTGTATTGCTTAATTTTACCCGACATAAATTGGGTGATCCGTATACGTAGCAAATAAAACGGAGTAAACAACTAGAACCCTCGTTCAGCCGATCCTCTACCAAAACATTGCACGTCTAGTGACGGAATCGTTTGTTTAACTTTACTTTCGAGCATGAAAAACACTGACCACGTTCGCGGCCGGACATTAAAGACGCGTATTAAAGTCATCGGCTGTTCGAGGGTTGAACGGCGGACCGATCATAGAAATAAAAAATGTCATAATTGCTTCACTTACTTATGTTACAAGCTTGGGTGACGGGCAGGGGTGCGCAGCAAGGCCCGCCGAGGGTCGCGACCCTTATCCGGGGGGTTCCAACCCCCCCGGGGCCCCCTCCCCCGCCCCCGGCGCCCCCGTAGCCCTCCACCTCCCCAGCCGCGACTGCGGCCACCCCTGCCCCCACTCCCTCGCCGAGCCCGGGACCACCACCAGGCCCACCTTCGACGGGCCCGTATCGGCCGAACGGTCCCGAGGGCCCCAGTGCACCCACTTTTACTGCGGTGTTATCCCAGCGGCCGTTAAATCGCACTTCTCACACTTCCCCCCGTCGGCTGCCAGTTTTTTTTGGCACACACTCGATATTTCGACTATTCGGTCCCGTTTCTCTATATCTGTCCGTCTGTCTCAACTTTACCTCCGTGTCTCCCTCTGTACACGTTTCTTCGTTCTCACTAGATGCTTTCCAACCCCTTCTCTGTCTCTCTCTCTCTCTCTCTATCTTTGTCTTTCTCTATTCGTATCGATACTATCGTTTGTTTATTCTCGTCGGGTTCGTCGTCCGGATGGCTTCGTGGTGTACGAACGAACAATAATCACTGATCGGGAGCCGACTGCTATCGGGCGACCCGATGCTCCCGGCGCCGTTCTACACCCTCGTGTTTCTCAGCTGATGGGCCAGCACCGTCGGCACATCGCGACCCCGGTATCGCGGCTCATGATCGTTTCGGCTGGTTTCTAGACACTCCGCGGCGGATCATGGCGCCGATGGGACCGGTATCGCGGCGGATCTCTGAGACGCGACGTGCGCGTCCGCGCGACGGGCCTCATCAAGAGCCCCTCGTGCGCGCCCTTGTAACCTTCGACGCCGGAATCTTGCCCGATTGCCGGGTACGGGCGTGCGTCGGTCGCGCGTCTCAACGCGTACCAATACCGTCTGCGTTTACGGATAACACTCTCGTGGTCCGCCGCGACTACGGCACGGGAACTCGTGCGTCGGGCGGCGATAGTAATCGAAATATATATAGCGGGGGCGAACGGTTGCGCTATCGATAAGCGGGCGAGGAACGCGGCGATTCCCGAGCACGCTCGCCTCGAGTTCGCCAGCCAACTGGCTGCACCTGTGACAGCCGTGAGGGTCCCCCCTCTACCTCGACGGTACGTCGCGCGCCTCGCTGGAAAGGGCTACGCCCATTGGCCACGACCACGGCGCGGGACCTTCCGCGCTCCCCTCCGATTGGACGGTCGTGGCCCGCTCGGGCGTAGCCAACCCCGTGCGCCGGCAGACATGGCCGTGGAATGGCTGCGGATCTCTGGTGGCGGACGGGACGCTTCTGTCGTTGCTACTGCTTCTCTGGCTGCTTCTGCTGCCGTGTGTTGTTGCTCGAAATAGCCTGCCGCCTGATTCTCCTCGTCTCTGACGCGCTATCGATCCCCCTTCGGCGTATACCGAACGGAAGAGTGCCTCGCGAAATGCCACAGGTTTCAGAGAATCTTTGCCTCTCACGCCCGCGAAATATTCCCCCCCTCCCTTCTCCTCCTGCTCCTCTTCCTCCTCTTACCCATCCCACCATAACCCACCTTGCGTGTCCCTTTCTGTACCGCCGCGCACGGAGGATCCCACTCTCGACCGCACGGACTACGACTTTCTTTCCTTCTCTCTTTTTCTACCCTGTCCTTTTTCCTCTTACAGGACAACGTTCTTCGATTCCCTTTCTCTCTCTTGCTCCGTTACTCGCGCCGATAGCACGCTACACACGTACACGCGCGCACACACACCTGCGCCCCTGTACGTGCATGTACGCGCCCTCTGTTCGACTCGCGAGACATAACCTTATCGCGAGGCTCGTTTTGTGACGGAGGCGTGTACCGAGGCGACGCGTTGCTTTCTATCGATTAAGGACCTCTTCGCGCTATTGTTCGACGGTTTTAAGGGTCGGGTGTCGTGGACTTTTTTTAAGCGCGAGAGGCCAACCGTGAGGGCTACTGTCGACAGTGTTCCGGCGGGGGGGCAGTGAGGGGAAATCGTAAGTCGATGAACGATTAGCGTTGTTTCTGCGAAACGGATCGTGACCGACCGGAATACGCGCGTACGTTTCGTATTGTTCGACGTACGTGTAGTGTGATTTGCTCGAACCACGATTCGTAACAAACTGCATTCGCGAGTAACCCGACGATCGAAATGCTCTGCGACACCGTTGGTTTTCTGATCATGATAAATTCAGATGAACATTGTTATCGAGAAAATTTGGCAATTCCATTTCGAAACGAATTACGCGACGGATACATTGGTAAGACAGCCAGAATCTCGCCATGCTAGTGTTTAAAGAGTGCAACCTCTGAAATTACCATACACGGTGAAGACAATTTTGTTGTACCGTAACGAACAGAGTCGCCAACATGGTCTACGAAAATTCCGGGAGTTCACCTGTCAAACTGAAAGGGTTGGTAACCCTAGTAGCACATTGCATACAAGATTTAGAGGAAGTGCAGCATACTTGGAATACTAGTTTATTTTAAACGAATAAAAAATTATGAAAGAAACTTCGTCCAATTGAGAAACGACTTTGTTTGCAAATAACTAATTATGCAACATTTATATTAAGTTTATTAATTCATAAATCGGGGATCGTGTTGACTGAACATAAAGTAAGATCGATCGATATTGTAATTTTCTCTCTTTATAAACCTTACGCGAATATTATTTTGCGATTCTAATTATTAGGTCATGAATTTTTCATGGGTGGCGAATTTGTTGGGACAAAGTGATGTCTCTGAAAGAATTCTAGGCAGTCTGTTAAAAAATTTGGAAACAACGGACACTGTTACAATCCACCTCGGTCCCTTTCGCCTCCGATGTTCCCAGCCCTGATTTATAATTACGCGAGGCAATGTATTTCAAATCGTTTGAAAAATCTGTAGGGCATAAAATGCACTTCGAAACGCGTGACGTGCAAAAAAATTTAACGATTGCCCGCGTGCCACCATAATTAGCCGTAAATAAGTGGCCACTATAAATTACATCGCCGTGGACTGGTTAAGCGTATTACGAGGGTCGACCATAGACTACTGAAAAGCTGTCAAGATTATTATAGGGTCCTGTGAAAAATCGACCGCCACTTAGATGTGTCAATTCGTACCTAACGGGGCGCCTGAATAAGTATAGTCCTTCGCCATCGTCTCCTGTCTTCCTTCCGCGAACGATAACTGTATATTTAATTCAAGGGCCACCCGTTCCATTCCCGTATTTAAACGTGCCCCTATCCTCTTTGTAAATCAAAGATCGATCGCAAAACAAACACGGAATTAACGTTTCGTTAATTCTATTTCGAATTATACTACGACAGAATATATCTGAACAAACATCGACGACAATGCAAGTTACGGTTTGAAACTAAGATGGAGAATCGGTGGCTGTCAGAGAAAGAAAATGGTCTCCCGAAAATGACTCGAAGACGATGAACACCGTTTGGTACATTTGTTGTAAAATAAATAAACTGCTTACAGAAAACCAAAGGTGTCGAATTTTTCAAATGAATTGACCCCCCCTCCCCCTTCTTCGCCAACGGATCTTAATTAACCTCAAAAATTCCGATCAAAATCTTAAGGTAGCAGGTGATTGTCAAAGTTCTCGTCGAACGTACCTACAAAATTGTTCGAAACAGCTTCATCGCGACTGCACTGCGAATCGTTTCGATCCCCCCGTACGATACTCGTGATAAGAACTGTTATTAACACGTTTTTCAGAGTTTATTGCCAGATTTCACTCATTCGTACCGAGCGCTACCGTGGTCGTGTGCTCTGCGATTCGTACGATTACCCGTACTCGATCCTATGTTATTATCGTTATCGAAATACTTTTCTCCCGATGCATCCCGTTATTATTGTGCCGTAAATCTTTTCAACGAAGGCAGGATACGTACACGGGCATTTCGTAATCACGGGAATCCTCGAGGCTCGGATTCTTTACACGGTTTATTCGCAACTCGACCGGCAGTAAATCGTGTTGCGCCAACTGTTAAAAGGCAATAAAACGCGGTAATACGCAATAACTGTACGAGAATTAATTAACGACGAATTGATGCCTACGCGCAAATCAGATTCTACTTAACCTCTAAATATTTCGTCTATAACGTGTTCGAACGGATCGAACGGGTAGGGTAAGTACCTACTCGACTTTACGAGGAACAGGAATTTATTAAGGCAAATAAAAGAACGCAATAATCGAGGGACATGAATTAGCTCCGTGTATACGGACACTGTTGGTGGTCGAAATTCTAACGAATCGAACGTAACGTTCTATCGATATCTAGCGCGTACGTTCGTCCTGTGCGAATAATCGCGAAGTTGGTTACGCGTGGAAAGAAATACGATCAGTTTTTCTTCTTGACTGACGTGACGATTGTACCTGCGACAAAAAGAAAGATGATTATGTGTCACAGGTATGACAGGCTATTCGTTCCTACGCAATACCGAGCCATTGTTCCGCGGCCGGTCTCGCGTGCCCCGACAAGACGATAAATGGAAAAATGAACGCGGCCTACGAGTTACGATCTTCCGTGCACGGTAATTATTATTGGTTTTCCAGCGATTCCCGTGTAGCTTATTCATCCCTCGAGATCGAACTAGGAAGTCGTGATCCCGTAATTGGAACGCTCTATCAAAAATCTCAGCCACGGATTCGTAATTTCACAGTCCAATCTCGATGTTTTTGTTTATCGCGTATCGTTCGATTTTTAATTTCGTAATGGGCTATAACTTATTCCGCGCGTTACCAGCGGAAAGTATCTCGGTAAAGGTATGCGAATTTGTACGTGAAAGTAACGAGAGCCCGGTTTATAGAAATTTTCGCCGTGTCCGACTATGCGCGGATGATTCTACTTGAGGCGTGTTGATGGCTAGATTTTCACTAGCAGTGACCTGCAGACAAATTAATAATGTAATGTATTCTTTTATTCGTAGGGTGACATGTCCCTGAAATACTGAAATAAAAATATTTAATATGTACAATATAATAAAATATACATAATTCCCGAGTAAATTGTACTATTATTTTTTTTTTTATAATATCGTAAGCGGTAGTACTTTCATTTTTTTTTTTGAAAAGCCTATTAGATCTAGAGTTTATTGTCTAGAATTATCTGTCCTCTGTTGGTGGTAATTTAGGGTGATAACCTATCCACTTTCTATATGTAACATTCATTGCTTCTTCTACCATATTGTCAATGGGATGTATTATGAAAGGTATAGAAGTCAGACCAACAATGGTGGAGATCCACCTATTTTTTAAGGCCACATTGTTACTTTTATGTTGTAAATATTGAACAGCAGCACAGATTCTGTTAATTGTAAAGCCAGGAAGTATCACAGATGCGAATGACTGCCACAATAAGGTGTCTGACATAGTAAATAAAGCATTTTTTGTTCCTGATGGAGTAGCATCCTTCTAAAACACAATACATTCAAGATGAATTATTTAATCGATATATTTAAGTGATCTTCCTTTGGATTTTGCTTACATTGTATTCGTTGAAACCTTTGTGGATGGTGTCTGCAACAACATATCCACTGGATACAATGTAACTCAACCATACAACTGACTTGGGAACTATAGGCCTGAAAGCCTCTCCAACCTCATTTGCATAGCCTAAAACAATTAATAAAAATTATGTAGAACATGCAAAATATAACTTCTGCCTGGAACTAATGAAATGAAAAATGCAAATGTCAAAGATCGTCTATTAAATAATCATAACATACTTTAAGAACATTGGTACATAAACGATGACTGCAATTAAATCGAAACCATGAATGAGAAATTAAATAACAATGCTTGATAATCTGTTCTGTATTACCCAGATATCTGACAGCTGTATCACGGTAAATGTCCACGTCTTCTTTGGTTGTTTTCATAACGTAATTGTCGTTTATTGCGATGGTTTCACGTTGAACAACAACCTGATCTAAGAGGTCGGAAATATTGTTCAATGTTATATTAATTGTCCTAGTACATTGGCGTAAGATCGATTCTTCATAAAACGAATCCCGCGTAAATTTTATTTCTATAGCAATCGACTTAAAATTATATAACTTATTTAAAACAGACAATTCTTTTAACGAAATTATAAAAATGAGGTATAACGAAATACCTATCGCCTTGTCAATAGACCTAGAATGTATGTTACTCGAGTTTCCTGTATAGGGAATTTCAAGTGTTGTTCATCCTGGGATATTACATAATTTAAAATGCGACCAAATGATTTATAAACATGAGGAAATTTTCAGAAATCGATAACTTAAATTTTTAAATAAACATCGAATTGTTAAAGTTCAGGTTGCAGTAGGATCATAATTTATGAACACTGCCAAAAGCTTACTCTTCAATCACATGCATTTTTGACGAAAATTTACTCGTCAGAGTTAGATATCGAATTAAATCCCATCAAAAATTACATGCATAATTGAAATATATTACTTCAACAATTTAATTCTGCTTTAAACTAAATATAGACGGATATAGTAAACATTCCAAAGATGGACAGAATTCTCATCTAGATAAAAGCTTCAAACAACGAAAGAGATGACCAACCTTTGATCCGTTTTCGTTCAATAGAAATTACGATATGAATTTTAAAATAAAAGTATGCGTCGCGTTAAATGAAACAAAGTTTCTTTGAAAAACTGCTTCGTGGAACAGAGGCTGCAAATAAATCATACGATACTTTTTATTTATCATCTATTGTTCGAATAAAATTATGCCCATCTCCGAACAGATATTGCAGATGAGCCAGATATAAATCGTATGAAACTTATAGCCGACGAAAAATATAATTCGGAAAGCGAATTTAGACAAATGTTTAAAAAATGTCGGAAGTGAAAATATACGTATACACGAATGCTACCATAGCAATTTTGTATCGACTTACGCAAGTATGGCGTCCAATCCTATTATCTCGTTGGTGCATAACATAACCATATGATGTTCTGTTAATGAAAGAAATCTTATCCCGAGCTTCGAAGGGATAACACGATCTTCCGGAACTATGACAGGACCGTGACATTCGTAAGTGAAAGTAGTTCGTATATCATCGTTCAAAATGCTAGATATCGATTTTATTAGGGAATACCTTAGTCTGCAAATTAACGAAGCAATTTGTTGGTGGTGGTATTATATCAGAGAAATTTCGTGGCAATTGCTAATTGCCGTTGCCGCGTATCTTTGCGTTTGCGTTTGTCTCTATTCAATCTTGAAAAGGGTCAGCCACACAGCGTGGCAGCTTCCAGGTTCACCTGCCCGTATATTGCTAGTCACTGCTCATCCTGATGATGAAGTCATGTTCTTTGGTCCACTGGTATACTGGGTGACAAGATCAAAGGCTACAGAGATTTACCTCCTTTGTCTTACCACTGGTACGTGGCAAACCCATCTTGCCAATTCCTACAAACAAAAATACGTGTTAGATATATAAGAATCGATTAATATTCCTATAGGTGGAAATAGAAGGAGAAAAGAAGAGCTATGGGACTGTACAAAAATATTAGGGATTCCAGAAGCTAATGTAACTATAATAATGTAAGGAATTATTTTGTTTCGTTGATATGCAACAGAATTTTTTTTACCCTTGATTCGAACACAGCTAAATTCTATCCTCTAATCTTCTTATCATAGTTCAATAAATGCATGTATAGGAGTACAGAGTTACCTGATGACCAAAATGTACAATGGCCAACAGAGGTAGTGGCAGAGTGTATTTTACAACACGTAGAATGTTACAAAATCAATGCAGTTGTAACATTCGACAAGCATGGTATAAGCAGACACAAGAATCATATCTCGCTATACTTTGCCATAGCTGCATTATGCATCGAGAAAAAAGTACCATCTTGTTAGTATCATTTCGTCGCGACGCTAAATTAATATTACGAATGTACTAAGTCCAATTTGTTTTCAGACTGTAAGCTGTACGTATTAGAGTCTGTGAATATAATTAGAAAATACGCGCAGCTTTTAGATTTACCGATTAGTTTATTGTTTGCTTCCTACTGGTATTTGGTAACATATGAACAAAAAAAGATCATAAAGGTGAGTGTTAACATGTATTATTTACGTAAATATTTTATAATTGTTTCTCGCCTTTATAGAACGCCATGACTGCACACAAGTCTCAGTATGTCTGGTTCCGTAAATTATACATGATATTTTCACGGTACACGTTCATCAATACCTTCCAAGAAATGAGCGCCCTCGATTTGGAATTGGACCTCCAGTTCGACGACGATTAACTTGCACGGATTTTTACAAGCTTGTACAAATTGTAATTATTTGTATATAATAAAATAAAATTTGTCTATTAATATGCAATTAAAAGCTAGGATTTTGAGAATACTTTTAAACATTTTTAAAGATTATACATATACACATTTCTAATAGAAAGTACTTTTTATTCGACCTTACAGGAATATACAAATATTTTAGACGAAAAACTGTAGCGCATAGTTTTCAAAAAGTAACGATACATCGACTTTTTATTATACGCAATTCGCGCATTAAATTTTCTTGTACAATCCTCTTTGTTGCAAACTTGTATAAATAACATGTAATCTCGATATGTACTTATCAGGTGTGCGTAATATAGTATCATTCATATCTATTTGTCCTAAATTAAATTTTCCCCCATCCCTGACATTTATTACGCGTTCAAGAAAATTACGAATTATTATTGAAAGATTTGAGCAACTACAAAATTATTGCAAGCTTAACTTTATTAATTTACGTATATTCGTTTTAGAATCTTTCTCGGCAATAACTCGCGATATACGTAATTACGCTTTATTCGTGGTTTTAGATCGCGTAAATTTGGCACTATTCCGTTCTGTGCATTGAAAGTACAATTGGATTTAAATTTCTATTGCCTTCCCGATACTTTCTAATAAAGTTTGATCTCTTTGAGTAATTGTACAATGGCAGTAAATCTATAATGTAATACTTAATCACTCATACTGGAAGAAAGTATAATTAGTAAATTAATACGTGGCATGAACTTTTTCTTTTTAACACAAGCGTAACAAATAACAAATTAAAAATGAATGTAACAGTAACGATTTTTTTTTCTTCTTCCGCCAGCATAATTAGAACACTCGTGTAGCAATATACAATTAGTATAGTTTCCTTACTTCGTTTTACGAAGGTATAAAAAAAGCTGCACTTTTTATTTAAACAAAACTTATACGAATGGTATCAACAATACTTAACATACAGTCTTTGTTGATAAACAGTCTTACATAATTTAAAAACATTAGTAATCGCGAAGTTACCATATCAAATAACATATTAGTGCGCAGCAGATATTTGTGTATATCAATGATAAATATATATATATATATATTTTTATATAGCGAATAGTTTAGAAAGTATATATACTCTGTGCGTTATATTCTTTGTCTTGTATGTATTCACTGTACATCGTCGTTTGAAATAAAATTCATTTTGTTTTCGAATACATACAAATGATGGAATGTGTCGTATGTCGTATGCTATACACGTATATAATATATATATATATATTAACAATATATCGAATTACTCAACGCTAGAATAGACGAAACCTTATATACTTTTAAACGTCATCTAATTACTTTGTAACTTTAAGACGAAGTAAATGCTTACAAGACAGTCGCAGAAAATGGACGGCATAAAGTGTTCCCGCAAGATCCTCAGTCAATAAACTACTGCAACAGCAATCGATTAGTAAAATACTGAGTTTAGGTACGAAGAGAATAACACCAAAAGGTTTTCCGTTCTTATAGAGAAAATATTCTTATAGAGAGATCTTCAGCTCCTGTAAATAGGAGTGCTAGATTTTATAAAGGATTCATGGCGAAGATCTCGCGGGCCGTATCCTAGAATCTATCCTTGGCACGATGTGAGCTCAAAGTTCCCATACCAGGTTGAGGAGAATCTGGATCTCCTGGATCTTGCAGGCACTGAAGTTCCTGCAATTCTTGGAACTTTTCATGGTCTCGAATATGCGCGTAATTGGCGGATAGGCACATTAAATAGTGTATAAGACTTAACACAACCAACATTGCGGCCACTGTTGCCAAGATAAACATCACCTCTGCTTTTTCAACAAAATCTTTACAAAACAGTTTCACCTCTTGTGGTCCGCATACCTTCATGTCTTCAACTCTAGTGTTATTTGGAAATATGAAACCTACGCGAAATAAAATATGAGTATAATGAAATAAATATAAATACAGTAGTGCCCGCTTAAGTGACCACGCTCGGGACTGGCCGCGGACATTTAAGTGGTCACTACTGTGTATTAAATTATTATAAACACTAGAACTCACTGAACTGAGTGAAGTCAATGCATTGATCGAGAGACTGAACTCTAGGATTACTGCACAGTCCCCAGAATATAGTGAATATCCAAGTAATTATGACTAAGAATGCGAATATCAAGAGCCAGCCTAATTGTAGGATGTACGTGATCGTCATAAACTAAAAAATACAGTACATGTATTTCCTGCACTAATCTTTTCTGGAATTGTAATCTTTGATTATATAGATACATACAACTGCACAGGAAATACGCCCACCGACTCTGGACCTCCACGCACGATAGACTTTGTGTCTTGTGGCTCCAGTTGCGAGACAACCGACACATAATATCATAAAACCCAAAGCTGCCATGCTAGCACCAATTGTTGCAAAAGTCAATTGTACGGCTTCTAACCATCCAAGCCGTAAGTGAAACACCTGATACATTATACATATACATTATACATGGTGTATGTTTAATACATACCATTTATAAGGTATATAATAATATTATATTTCACCTGATCCATCATTAAAGAACCCAGTGTAACGCCTCTATACATTGTGCCGCAGAATATGCCCACTCCTAAACAACACATTATGGTTGCAATAAGAGTCGCATATGGCACTCTGGCCATACAGTCATTACACATATTCCCTGTAATTATAGAAATATTACATACAGAGTTATAATTTAATATACAATGGTTCCTTTATCTTGCACATGTGCGAATCTCTTAAGAGTCACGTTGCAACAAGCCAGGTTCAACACAGTTATTGCAGATAAGATTAATTAGTCTTTTACAATAACGTATATATTTACGTGAAAAAACTTACTGCAAGATCGATTGTCATAGTCAAGTCCGTGAAGACTTTTTTCGGAAAATCTATCTATGCTAATATTACTTTCAAACCGTCTACGCAATGGTAAAATGTCAGTTGCTTCTTGATTTCTCATGTTTAATTACAAAAAAGTTTCGACAACCTGTTTGAATGAGGCGTGAAGCGATGACTGAAACGATGAATGAGTAATCTTCTCGTATATACTATAGATAAGATTATAAAACGTACGGTACACGACGGTTTCTGCTATCGAACCGTTACTAGGAAATAGATTAATCTGCGTTCGAGGAAAAGGACTTCTCCTTTTTTATAAGTTCTCTTACGCGTAACGAGAGGATGTTGTACAAATTTGTTTGCTTACCCATCTTTCCAGCCTGTTATTGTTCGAGGTTAGGCTCTCTACAAGTGGGCACTGCCCGTTGTTAATTCCAAGATTATAATACTAGAATTCTCCCAATTACTGCGGCAATTGAATGTCTTTCTTCTGTATTAGTGAATGACATCCCACACGCTTCTCGTAATTACACATCGACGCGTCACACACTTGTTTACAGAGACCAACGAGTCCTTCGGGTCTGCCTCGGACAGGCTGATGTAAAGTGATGCTGTTAACTCACAAAAAATCTTTCAAGATGTTTCTCAATGCTTCGCGTAGAGAATTTGAAGGAATAAAACAAAACCCAACGAAACCGAATGACGATCGAGATATTTCAAATTAAAGGTAACAATTGCTAGAGAATGTCGTTATACGTGTATATTTTTCGATTATTCGTTAAAGCCAGTCAATATGGCGACAGAAAGTAAAAGAGAATGGGATCGTTGCCCTCCCGAGAGTTGTAGGGAATGCCGTACCGTAGCAAATCCAACATAACGTTTCTTTTATTACTAACTACATTTTACCAAAGAATGTTAATAACTCCGGGTGACCCCGATTCGACTATTTAACTTTGTTTCTTCGCGTAGGTCATACGCAATATGTGTTTTACGTTATTCAAAGCTACGAAAAGCTACTAATTACCGATAAAATATCGTGAAACTGCTGATTTTTCTAATTCATAGTATCTGGCGTGTCTAAACGCAGCCATACCTATTCAATAAACAGTAGTTTAATTCTTTGTTTGATTAGGGGTATAGCACAAAAAGAGTGGTTACACCCCCCTGCTATATTCATTTTTAAAAATTTTTTTTTACTCTTCTTTACGAATAAAATTGGTTATGTTTCCTGAAATTATTTCTCTGCAAACTTACAATTACACATTTCAGTGTACTCATCTGCTATCAGTGTAATATTAAAAACTTGCTCTTATTATATTTAAAATATCAACGACTTCGTAATTAATTAGAGGGATACAGTATATTTAATACATCTATAAAAATAGTTTCGCTCTTATTGTAGTTAGACTACTTAAATCTACTATACAAAATAATTGATTATCTAAATGCATGTTTTGGTACTATCGGATATTTTTATGTTTCGGTTGAACGAGACATTTGATAACTGTCGGTAGGTGACGTAATTTTTCTCTAACGATATGCGGCACTTCCGAATTCTGATAATGTTGATTGTATCTCGTGACAGTACCATTGTTACACTCATAAATTATGCCACCGCCGTAGCTTTGAGGACTTACCTAATAATGATAAATTCGATTAAAGTACATGATCGCATATTTCGATAATATTTCTAATTTTAAAATATACTAACAGTTAAAGCAGAACCATCCTTATAATCGAGGCGAATATCTCCCGACGATAATTGTGTGGCAGTACCCACGCCCGGGATAACTACATTATTTGTATTGTTACTTGAATTTCGCATAGAGTTCATTTTACGCGATCGAGACGCCACCGTCGAAATAACGGAACAAGTAGCATCGAAAGACGACATCTGAAATATGGACGGTAAAGGGATAAATTATAATTCGTACAGGGCATGGATTTTGTTACATACCACGGGTGTATGATTTGTTGCCTGCGAAACATTTTCTTTTCCTTGTAAACAAGGAGCATCATTTAAGGCCGCGCTTGGCCTACGTCCAATTATCACTGGGAAACAAGAATGACCGGTAGCTGCTTCCAAAGATGTTAAAGTAGATTCTAACAATAAACAGCGCTGATAACATTCCAAATAATGTTCATAATAATCGTCGAAGTGCGGTGGAAATTCACCGTCCATGTAGACAGGACCATCGCTTCTTTCGATTATCTTTACAGCGCCATCAACGCGTAAAACCTGCAACAGTTGATACGGTCATAACGTGTTCCTCATTTATGTGTAATATCCACAACGCGTTTCAGTACCTTAACCCCGTTATAAAAATGAACTTCACAGTCTGGATGTGGCCCGTTTTCCATAAAAAGACACTTCGATCGTTGCGTGTAGAGCGTCAGTTTCGGGGTTTTAGCCCTCACAAGCTTTATAAAGCGAGACGCGTACACATATTTTCTGTGATGACGCGGCGGTAAATTTTCATAGGAATAAATACTATCTGCGCCGCGGGATGGTAACGGGGGCGGTTGTATTCCGATTTCGATCGGGACGTTCGGTTTATAAAGAATAACTCTTAAACCGTCGCTCGATATTCGGCACACTTCGCTTACTCTTTCCTGATGGTAAAAAAACAATTAATTTTAGGCGTTTCGAAGAGAATTTTAATTCTCCTTCTACTTACCACTCCACTCCTACGTTTGATAAATTCAATGCAAACTTCCCCATGGTCTAAAATGGTAAGAATTGCATTCTTTGTTCTATGTCTAGTAGGTTGAAGTCTCTCTGAAGATATGGGCGGAACTTGTAATTTCCCCCCATCTTCAGCACCTTCGAAACAGTTCTCGATCTTTTCCCTTTTTCTATATCTATCAGTTTTATGTTTATCAGTCTCCTCGTACACATCGCAATTACTATACTGCTCACTTTGCGAGAATATTTTGCTTTGAGGCGGTGGTGGTATCCCAACTAACACAGACGCTTCTTTTGGACGATAATCTATCGGATTAAGGTTAGCTTTACGCGAATGAGTCTTTGTGATAGGCTCGGATAAAGCTTCGCTTCTTGTACTAATCATTGGCCCAAAACCATTGGACATTGTAGGCATCGTCGACATTCGTTCCTCGGATCTGGAACGCATTCTTGGTCGACCATAAGAGGATAGTGTTCTTCCCACCCCTGAATCAATCATGCCATCACCTAACAGTCCTTTGCTTGTACCATTTCTTTCCTATTAATGTAACAATGTCTATGATGGACCAAAAATAAAGTATTACTACCTCCCTATCTTAACTGTTACTTACACTATGCAATTTGCTTCTATCTACATTGGTTATAAATGGATGTTTCGGAATGTCGCGCAAACGAATTCGATCCTTTGGATTTTTTTTCAGTAACTTATCTATCAAATCTTTAGCATTGTCTGATAAATGAGCTGGCATTACATAATCGGCCATAACCACGCGTGTTAAGGTACTTTTAACAGCATCTGTATCGAATGGTGGTTTGCCAACTAGCAAGGTGTACAACATGCATCCTAAACTCCAAACATCTGCCTCTAAACCATGAGATGATCTTGTTGCTATCTATAATGATATAGAAAATAGTATACCGAATATATCAATAACATTAATAATTTTTCATAAATCTTCCAACACACCTCAGGTGATATGTAGTTGGGAGTACCACACATAGTTAAATGTTTTTCATCAGGCCTTGTCAACTGAGTAGCTAACCCAAAATCTGCTATTTTCTATATTAAAATTATTTATTTGTAATTAATACTATCAATTAGAATACCACAATAAAAGTATGTTTTACAACATGTTATTTTTCTCACCACTTGCATGTCCCTCGTTAAAAGCAAATTGGATAAGGACATGTCCCTGTGAAGTATTTGATGGGAATGTAAGTACAACAATCCTTGGACTACTTGTCTAATTATACGACCAGCTGTAATAATAAATATGTGTAATGTGTGCAAAACTCAGAAACAGTGAGTACTATGAATTTATCTACATTTATACCATGTTCTTCAGGTAATGCATTCGAGCCTTGTATCTTAAGAAAACGTTGTAGCTCTCCATTGTGACACAATTCCAACACCAAATAAACATAGTTAGCATCTTCAAAGAATGTGTACAATTCAAGTATCGCTGGATGCTTCAATCTAGAATGAATTGCTACCTCCTGACGTACTCTACCCACCATCCCAGCAGCTTGCATCAATTTCTTGTCGATCTAAAATTGTGCAATGCATTTTTTTTCTCAAGTTCAAATTTACAGGGATAGTGCAACAGGTATTTGTAACCACGAAAGCATAACTTAACCTTAGTAAATTCGTGTATTACCATTTTTATGGCGACTTCTATGCCGCTGCGAAGACATTTTGCCCGATAAACGCTGGCGAAGCCCCCTTTCCCAAGTAAGTTCAGTACCTCGTAATCCTGGGGTCGCAAATGAATAATCGAAATGTTAGAATTGAAGGCAAGCGTACAAATTCAAAATACTAACCTCTATTTGTTCACCGAAACCACCCGACAACGGTGGCATTTCCGGCATCCGGATGATCAAACGGTAAAATTGTTTCAATCACCGAGGCCACCAAGTAGCACTTTAATAGTTCTCATGCATGAAATTCGTTCGAAAGGAAATATATTTAGGAAATATATCAATAAATTTGTAAATAGAAATGACATGGCGCCGCCGCCATATACAAATACTGTACAGTGTCTGTTTACGATAGATGGCGTGAACGTACACGAACAGGTTTCAATTGTCAATAATCAAAAAAGTATTTGAAAAAACTAACGATACACAGGTGAGGTATCTTTATCAATGGTGATATATCATCACATAGCATCGATCCGTCTATTACTGATAATACTATCCAATATATAAACATTTTGTTCTTTTAAAATATCCAAGCAATGCAAGTAGAGGTATTCGACCTAAAACTCCCGAACACGACTCGAGAAATAGAATTGTTCAATCATCCTCAATTTTTGCAGTTTTTGTGTAAAAATGAGGTATGTATAACTTGAAAATTGAAAATATTCGAATGTTAAGTTTAGTCTTGCAAGACACAACGGTATCCTGAATAAATCAGTTTATAATTTTATTAAGTTTCGTGATTCCGAGGGCCTGTAAAATAGTCGTAAGTTTCGATATGTAGAATATCGAATATCGAATAGGAAATAGTCATCCAATGAATATTATAAAATAAAATTCGTGTTGGGTGAATAGATCGAACGTAGGTGATTAAGAAAGGCACTACAATTTTTGTTTGTGAATTTAAATGTGCTATCGATTTTCACAGTTGTAATTCGTTCTAAATAACTATAATTACAAATTAGTTACAAATAATATACAGCACAATTTACATTATGCGTTTAGATTAAGTGTTAGCGGAAGTGGACGAAATATCAAAATGCTGCACAATTATCAGACATTAGTACGCGACTGGTCTACAGTATAAATATTTAATGATTAGAGAACATAATAGACACCTTACATTAATGTCTTTAATTGTTAGTTTCACTTTCACTGCTTAAGGAAATAATTCGTACTACAATTGTACACTTATTACAAGTTTCGTTTACGAATATAAATTATTTTGTGGCACAGGACTCATTTATATTGCGTTTTAATCCATCTGATATCTAAACCATCGTACGCAGAGAGCATGTAGAACATTTTTTTTTTTCCTGAGGTCAGTCTTCCAAAATAACACAACTACAATCAATAATTCAGCGAAGTCCAGTATTTTTACTAAAATAAGAGACTGACGATACATTAAAGTAAGGAATTATTTTGAGTATTCATAGGCGTAGAGCTCTGACATCGTTGCGCGGGAGGCTGATAAATAGGCTGGGCGCTTCTTTGCTGACTGCGCTTCTTATTGTAACCAGCCTTATTTGTAGGAACGATTCCACTTCCGCTTCTTCGAAATTCCATGCCCGCTGGAAAATCCATTTTTAAAAATGGATCGTGTGCTTACAAATTTTAAAATAGACGAACGATTCATTAAATTTATAATTTACCAGCTATATGATTCTGTGTTTGATCATAACGAAGTTGTCTGTTATCGAACCGTTGATCTGATTGTTTCTGATCCATGACATAATCTTGAACTTGATGCTGATATAATTAAATGTAAAGTGGTAATTAGTTTGTAGTCAATATTCTATAATTAACGGAGCTATAAATAATTTACGTACATCTTCTGTTATAGGTAAGCAGTCCATTTGGAGTACTTCTTCATAATTTTCGAATCCTTTGAACTGAACAACACACGTTCTATCCGATACCCCGGTTACTTTGGCATTGTAATACTAAACGCCATAAGTATCAATTATATTAATTATATCGCGCCAGTGTATGTTATTTGTTACTCACCATATTATCTTCCCAATATTTAGCTAAACATTTATCACCCACGCGCCAAACCCAAGTGCCGCCGATAGGTACATTCGCGTTTTGATTGTTACTAAAATGATTTTGGCCTCTTTGGCTGTTGGGCCCAATAGTCCCTTTACCGCCAGAACTATCATTTGGTTGGTATCTATTCGGTTGGTTTTTGTCATTTTTATCATTTGTGGTTACAGGATAAGCTCTATGCGTTCCATCTTCTTGCGCTCGATTATGCCTACCGTAAGAAACATCGTAACTTTGCCTATTCCTGGCATCAGTTTCGTGATGATTATAATTCCTGCTGCTACCAAAACTCTTTCCTTGCTGATCCTGCGAAGCTTTATAATAGTTAGCCGTATCGGTAATGTGTGTTCCATCGGTACGTGTTTGTAAACCGGAATTTCGGGAATCGTTCAAGTTAGATTTTTGGTACATTTTGGTTCCTGTATCTTGCAGACCATAACTATGAGTATCTTGATTTCGTTGGAATCGCGGCGGTTTGTTTTGTTGAGAATTGCTTCCCCCGTTATACTCTGAATATTGGGGGGTGACAAGGCTATTAAAGTTTGATTTTTTATTGTTCCTATTTTCTTCCGAATGTCTGGGAGGAACTTGATATCCGCGCCCCCCTTTTTGAGCTCTATTGAAAGCAAAGAGACACTTACTTTTTACGACCGCTACAATCATGCCATCGTACTAGTTTAAAAAAAATATACCTTCCACTTTTTCCACTTTGTGCTTCGTTACTTTTAGATTCAACCCTATCATAATTAGATTCTGTACTCAGTGTATAACTATTCTGGGATGGATTTCTAGTTTCGGTAGTCTCGGATTGTAAAGGCAATTTATCCTCTAGAAAATCAAAAAGAGATATATTCCCGCTACTTGGTTTACTTTCTTCGGCTTTCTTATCGAATCGTTTAGTTCGGGGTTTCCGTGTTTCTTTGAATGTACTAAAATAGGTACAACAAAAGTATTAAGGAACGAGTCGCGGTAACGCGACAGTTTAGAATAAAAGAAAACAGACATACTTGTTTTTGGTATCTGTTTTCATCAAACTTTTCAAGGCTTTATCAACAATATTTCGATTAACTTTCAACGCATATTCTGCCTGTTCTATAGAAAAGCCTCGATCTACTATTTTTTGTACACTGTGATCTAAAAGCTAAAATCCATCAAGCGACAATAAGATTGCTCTGAATGAAAATTGTACCACTAGACATTTAGCGCAACATACCTGTTTATTTCCCCCACCAAAAATCTTTTTGCTACCTTGCTTAGCAGCTTCTGCTATCGCGTCTTTCCGTTGAGTTTCGAATTCCGTATTCTCTTTGGTAGATTTCTCTTTTTCCGCCAATGCTTTAAAATTGTTGTCATGTTCAGTAACTTTTATAATTTTTTTGCCAAACGGTATCCATGGTGGAGGTCCACCTTCTTCGGCAGATCGCACTCTCGTATGTAATGCCAATTTCTGTTACAAAGTAACCTATTGTCTTATTTCCACGAACACTAAATTTAAATACAACTTACTTTGTTTAATTCCCATTTTTCCACAAGATTTGTTACTTTTCCCCCAAGTATTTGTGCTATATGCGACGGTCTTAGTAAAATAATCCCATGGGATATCGGTAAGTTTCCCGAACCAATTAATATTTTTGTACCAGGGGGAGTGTTTAAACTAAAACACAGTTACAACGATCAAATCTGTTCTTTGTACAAACTCTGTAACACGGTGCCACAATCTAGCTTTGTACCTCAATGACGAGATGTGTTCAACTTCTACAGCTTGGTAGTTATTTTTACCATCCGTTAAAGATAATTTCAACAGACGTGGAGCTGCTCTGGATTCCTCGTTGCTCTTAGCAGCAGAGACATTACGTACTTTTTGTACTTGCAATACAATGTTACCCAGAGTGACGTCTCCTTGACCATTACCGGTTTCTCTTAAATCAAGCTACGGAGAAAATAAGGAGCTGAAAATATTTATATGCCTGCTTGTCTTAGAATAAAATTATATAACGAGCCATTCTTACATCCAGCAATCGCTTTATAATTTTGTGGACATCCGTAACATTTCCATAGTCGCTTGCAGTATTATAACCATGATCTGTTATGTACCTAATTCAAACGTTCATGAATATTTATATGCTCTATTGCTAAAAGATATCTGATCTTACGTGAAATTCGTGCAACTAGAAGAACATGAATGTTTATACACACCACCCCTTGTCCTTTAACTTTTCCATAATAGCCGCTGTCATTTTGTCCTCGAACCAGATTTCTCAACGGGCCAATTCCTTCAGTTCGACGGTTTATCCAGGAGAAATTTCATGTGCGTTACATGCGTGTATTCGACTCGTACATAAACATGTGTCAGCTGACGTATAAACCAATATGGAACAGGTTTTCGAAGCATCAATAATTGCGAAACGTGATCAGATCTTTTGGCAGGTGTTTATTATCGTTCACTAAACGCTCTGATACCTTTTGATTCTTCCAAACAATGGATAAAAAGAACCGCGCCTATTGGACCTCAAATTCTCTGCCACCATCTTGAACGTTTAGTGCACAGTGATTTTAAGATCGATATATCGGTACTCCAACGAACGTCAGTATCGATATATCGTCGAATATTTAAAAATAACACCACTACGGTTGACTATCTAATTAATGAGCAATTATTTGCCTATCACTTTATAAAACATTTCATTTTATCGTTATAAACGAAAAATTCTCTAGCTATAAACGTTTTATTATTAAGTTGCGAACACTTGTTACACAGGACAAGTTATCTTTCCTTGATTTTGTAACTATACAAGACCTTTATGTTTTCACAATTTCTTGATCGTTTGACTCTCGTTGGATATAAACGATAAGGAGTACAGTAGTGAGAAAGTTACAAAGTAATTTTATTAAAAACATGCAGAAACGAGCGTATAACTCTTGCGTGAATTCTCGAAGAAATTGCACGCAAGAGTTCAAGCGTATAAGTGGACCATTATCCGAAAACGATGCTCGTACGGTAACATGCGCAAAAAATGGGTCACGCAGACCTTGCGTCTCGCGCGTTAGGTTCTAAAATCAAGTTTCGGTGAAGAGTGAGAGTCTACGTTTCTCAATGCTTGGAATTCTTTAGATCGTGATCGTTCTTTCTACGCAACTTACGTAAATGGAACGACATGTGTCGTCGGCCATAATATTTCGATACAACGTTCTTTGTCGCGATCGAAGTCAACGATGCATCGAAACTTTTATTTTTAGACCTAAAGGTCTACTTAATTATAATTAAAAAAAAAATAATAGTTACGTTCGAATTAGAAAGGATAATTTTCCCCAAAGGGACACGGAATGTGTCTCGTACGATTCGTGAGCCAATTATGGCCGCCAAGTTCACAGAGGTCATTATCGCCAACAACCCCCATGCCGATGAGGTATAAGAAAGGCATTAACTGCTGATCGGTCCAATTTGAGTTGATGATTATTACACGGGTGGAGTCCCGTTTGAATAAACGATGAAATTAGATCAGATAGGAACTAACTTCGGTGATGACGGAAGCGTATAGGCACGGTTAAGAACAAGAAGACCCGCCCATATCGTTGCACCGACGATCCGTAAAAATTGAACGTGCCCGGAACGCCAATTATCATAAATCACTCGTTGTAATTCTACATAAAGAATTAAATCCCCTTCGTTAATGAAACCTCGCAGGTATAAGCGTACGAATAGCTTTATCTTTCTTGTTCGTCGCATGGATTCATTACGACTCTTTGGAAATGCAAAGATCGTATTTTCTAAAAAAAAAAGAAAGCTCCCGGGTATGTTGTTTTCTACTCGCGGACGTCGTCTTGTACACCTTAATTGTGCGTTACAAACGTGGGAGAGAATGATCTTCGAATTACTAGGTCAGCCTTGTCGGGGGAAAAAAATGATTACGATGCCGAAGGTGCGTCGGACGGGATATAAATAATACAGTACGGACTTTTATGCATTTTCGCGGACTAAAGCCACCATTTCTAACTGTGACACGCATCGATTACAATTATCTTTCACGTTTAACCGTTCGAACGCCGGTGAAACGTCGCCACGATATCGTTTCTGCTCAGAGATCGTAACTTAGGTATTAATGTAAAATAATTTTGTTAGTAAACTCAGTTAAAATGTCTGACGATACGCATTCCACCTACGATTTTCACTGTGAGTGACTCTAGGTGTAGTCAGGGCAGCCTTGAGCAGGTTGTTCACCGCACAAGGGTAGCTAATCAATAAGGCTACATTCAAATCGATTAGCCAAGAGTTAAAACTTTATTTTTAACATCGTGTCGCAACAATATTTAACAGATTTAATACTGTACACGTTATGTCACCAACGTAACTGTACGTTCACCAACAATCTCTTTGCGTACCCTCAGAGGGGATGATCGAGTTGTTTGCTAGATTCACGACGTCCCCCCGGAGGGAGCAGCCGAGTTCAAAGGGTTAAAAATGATGATCTTCAACGGGGACGCAAACATTCGAATTCATTTTTTCTATCGTTTCGAGAAAACATGGCGATTGAAAGTTGTTACCCCCGCTTTAACTGGTTGTAATTGCATTGCAGAGATTCTAATGCCTCTGTAATCATTCGTGAAACTATCGTGCTTCGTTTCTGGAGAGGATAAGGGGTGGTTTAAACAAATATAACGAACAAATTTGAGTTTGAGTATGCTACCCCTAGAAGCTATAAAATAGAAGAGATTAAGATTCTGATAGATTTCTAGGTCAACGTGGGGGAGGCTCGAATCCTTGTTGTTTGTTTCCGTGTCTACAATCGACGTAGGAAAACGATTGAAAGAAAACAACGTAAGTTTGCAGCTTTTGCCACGTTTTGATTTCGTCCCGCTGCTCGACGCCACGTTTCGTTACCCCACTTTCGGCAGGTCTCACGAGAGCGTGGATTCATGGTGCGTGGTAACGCACAATGCCCACACGCGGCACATAAGAGCCCACGACTGCGTTGAGTACACACAGGTACGAAGGTAAACGATGACTCGCGGTGGAAAAAGGGGGATTCGAATAAGAAGGAGAGGTAGAGGGGAAGCGTGGAGTTGCTCGATGGACAAACGGAGAGGGTAAATGCAACGCGCGATAGAGAGGGAAATAATCAGGGAGACCGGGGCAACAGAGTAAAGCAGAGAAGGAGAGAGAGGGAGGGACTGGGACAGAGCGCGAAAGAGCTCACGACGGTTTTACCATTTCAGTTTCACTCAGACCCGGCCTGAAATCGCGCGTGTCCACGCCGATACTCGATCCCGCAGCCTCGTGTGCCTGAATTTAACCGACCGTACGAACAAGCTCGGCGCGTCCACCGCGCGGCGATTAACAGAAAATCGGTGTAACCCAGTGATTTCCCAACGGAAGCCGCAAGTTGCGTGCGTGGTTCGCTGCACGGTGTCGCGTATCATCGACGAAAGAAGTTTCTATCCACCGGGCGACGACGAAAGGGCAGCTGCGACATACGGAGCGCCGTGAGTACGATCGTTCGTCGATCCGATTTACCCGTTATGCTCGATCGTTACGCGCGTAGGAGTCACAAATCCCGGATTCACGCACGCGGTCGAACGACGGTTCGAATCGAGGCTCGATAGAAATCGACTGGTCCTCGTCGATTATTTTTTTCGCGGTAAATCGGCAAGAAGGTTCTGACTGTGATAACGCGCGTATTAGCTTACGCCTACGCAGCACGGAGTCACGGTGGCCAGAGATGTTGCAAGAAACGACGGGGTTCGTTCGAGTTTGTTTGCGTTGCCACACATCGAGGCGAATAATTTCGATTTCGAAAATCGATTAAATAACGCGCTCTCGCAACGCTGTCGATTTCGCTGAAATCGAGTATCGAGAACCCGGGATGGCTCGTGGATCGTCGATCGCGACCGCCAGTGATCTCCCAGCATCCATATTGTTACGGAATGTACCATTGTCGCGCGTGTTTGGTTTATGCGCGGCGTCGGGCGTGCAAGAAAACGCGCACGTAACAGTAGACGGCCGAGCATCATAACGCGTTGCCTCGGCGATCGTACAACGGGGATCGTGTGTAAAACTCGATGACCTCGGTCTCCGCAACCGTAACTTTCGACTGAAAGGATCCCTCCCTTCGACTTTTTCCTCGAACGTTCTTTTTTCGTTTCTTCGCCGTATCGCCCCTCCTTTCTTCTCGATCGGACTCCACGAAACGTATCGATGTATCACTATCTACCAAATTGACCTCCCCCCCCCCAGGCACGACGCTACGCCCAATCTCAGACTTGTTACTTCAATTTCAGCGACTTTCGAATGAGTTACTTTATAGTCAAGATGCTAACAAAAATAAATATGGACTCTAAATATAAATTTAAATGAAGGGCCGAAAGGATTTCATTAAGATTTCACCTGGAGTAGAATGCAGGTGCAAAAAACGTGTATGCTGTTTTGCATCGGTATTTCCCCCTTTACCAAATCAGTTTCGAGCCCCATCGGATTACTCGAGTTGAATTATTAGCTATGACCTAACGTTCTCAAAAGTGGCTATCGACCATCGTACATAACGTCAGCTCGAAGCTAATAATTCGACTTGAACGCTCTAGAAACAGAACCTGTTGAATCATAGTACGCGCCCCAGGCAAGATATGTTGGGTCTTACGAGTTCAACAAGAACAGGGTTACCTCACCAGTAGTCGATCACCGCCTGGTTGATCGATTTCTCAAAATTACCACCAGAACCAGCTCTGTCGCGTACTGGAACAGCGAAACTGAGTAGCAGCCTTCTGGGTTCCACTTTAATCACAACTTCTACCATTAGAGATCGAATATTTTTCATTTTATCAAAATAAAATAAACATCGTGATCCACCCAGACTGTACAGACGAGGCTCAACGTGGGCCCAACCGACCGAAGATTACTATATCACGACGTTTAGACGAGAAAGTCTTAGCTCAGGTTTCGTTCAACCGAATCCCAGAGACTTGGCCGAGTAGAGTTAAAAAATTCAGCCACCATGACCTGTAAAACGAGAGACCCGGAGCCCAGACACAGACTTTGCGGACTGTGACAACATAACGTTCGCAAGAGGGACCGAGAAACACGTTTTTAACGATCTTCCTCGTCGTTGACTTAACCTTCGAGCCTGTTGAAACGATACGACGGTTTCACCGACGTTCCACGCGTTTATTTCCTTTGTTGTTTCGCATTTTTTCGACATAAATCAACGGGCGTTGAACAAACGCTGCGCAAAATACCGTCGTCTCGAGAGAAAACGATTCGCGCGCAAAGTCACGACTCCGGCGTGAAACTCGCGTCTCGCTGCGCGTCGATGATGCAGGTATATTCGATGATGTCAATACCGAGTTGGTTTGTTTTCGTTTAAGTGTCTGAATCATGCACCGCTCGATACGACTTTTACGCAATAACAATTCCCTGCACCGCGCGACAAGGAACAAGATATTAAAAGGCAGGTTGCAAGTTACAATCTCCACGCTATTTCTCATGGTCACCTCTTATTTTTCGAACTCTGTTCGTTCGAAATACTATGGAAACCCCTTCGATCACCGAAACGCTATCATTTAAAATCTATCTAGACTCTATCTCGTGCTAGTATGAATTTCACTAGGGAAAACGTTCGTAGACGTTTCTGGATCACTTTGGTGATCTATAGAGCACGTTGTACAAGTGTCTCGATATTATTAGCTACTTCTGGGTGCTTTGTAGGACACGTTGTAACTCGTCAAAATATTATTCCCCGTGAGAAGGAATTGATTGTTCCTATATAATAATTTCCTTTGCATCTTTGTTACCATTTATGGACATAAGAGTATTACCATAAGTATACACTGGTTCACAGAAGAAATCAGAAGTTTACTAACAGTGACATCAAAGCTGAATCCGTGTATAACTAACGACGTAAACAAGACACAGTAATTTCTAAATTGGAAGGTATCGTAAGATATTGTAAACATTTTCTTCAAGATTCTTGGAAGCACTCGAATCGTCAGAATAACGGATTATATACATTTGACATGACTCATTGTGCTATCTAGATCTCCAAGCAATGCTGTTTCGAAGATCGATAAATCAGATGCAAATGCAACATTAGGATGACCCGGAATTCCAGCCATGCTTTAGCATTCAGTTAACTTTCCTTTGGCACTCGTTGCTGTTTACACACTGCGCGGTCTTCTATATGCTCAATTGTCACTTTCTTCGAGTGGTTATTGTTATTCTAATAACAACCACTTTCGAACAAGTTTTTTGTACCCGTTACATTCTATATTCTTTAACCACCAATGTTTTTTAATTAGAAACTTTCAAGAAGTCTTTGCTGAATCGGTACTCAACTTGACGCTACGGTCGCAAAGGAATAAATTTCTACGCCCGAGAAATATTTTCTATCGAATGGTTCCTGGCGTAGATGCGCCTTTTGCAAATAGATTTTATGGAATTACGACACGATCGGACGGAATGGCGAGAAACGGGTGATATAAACGTCTCGTAACAGGGGAAAAAGGGGAAAAAAGCCATCACTTTGCCCGACGACGGTAATAAGAGTCTTAACGATGGTCGCTAAAGTGATCGATACGTCGAAGCGACTTGGACTCTCGCAATTACGACGCGGTGAGGAATTACATTACTCGCAAGTTCCCTGGCCGGAGGCCCATTAAGCGCCAGGACGAGGAAGGAAGCTCCTCGATGACGTCACGCGCCACAGGTCCAGCCATGCTCTATCATTTTTACGTTTTTCATTGCCCGTGGATTACTTAATGCGGACGGGGAGAAGCCACTTTCTCTCTCGTATAACGTGTCTTTAAGCCAGTATGTCGGTGCGTGACTGAGCCTCGAGAGGACTTCTACAGCTTGTTACAAAACCGGTATATCCTCGCCTAGACCGTAGGGTAATTCGTGTACGGCGTCGCGAAACCGGTGTTCGAGGACTTCCGGTTGTCGTTGTTGCCCGATCCATTGGTTACTCGGAGAACGTCGATCAGTTATTTCTCGCAAAGCTTCTTCTCGAGGCAATTTAATTTTCCCTTAATTTGATATGCACGACGATTAGAGAAAAAAGGAACACGTTTCAACTTGTGCTCGATCCATTGCAATTAAATCTAATTCAACCTTTCGTTAGATAGATCGGTATCGGTATCGTCGAAGTTTGTTTATTTCTCGACTTTCTATGAACATTTACCCGGCGTTGAGATGGAACTTTTGCGATAAAAGTTTGCCGGACTCGATGAGAAATAAAAACGAAAGTTGTTGCGTAACGGAAGACAGAGATTATACAAATAAATGCAGAAGCAACGAGAAACGATAAATGATGAAATATGGAAATTGCCGTTATTCATTTTACGCGGACAAATCGACCCACTTTCAAGTATTGGGATTCAGACATCATAGCGTTCGAAGGGTTGTGAGCTTATAGCGTCGACCACCGGTGATCGCCATAGCAATCGTATTAAGTGTGTCACGGGTTGCTATAAATACACGTGGATAAAAGTGAGGAATAATTTAAACCTTCTTTCTCGTAGAATTCTATATAATTTTCTGCCCAATAAGTTTCTCCGACCCGTAAAAATACTCGTGAAGTTATTAAAAAAACGTGTTATTGCGGGTTTTAATATTCAGACGTTTCGTCGCCAAAGGCAGAAGTAATATTCAACCAGTCACGCGACACGCCCCCCAAAATGTATGATTTTTTCCGAAATAGGGCGCGCTTTCAAATATTTATTAAATCGATTACGATCGCGCTCGATTATCGGTAGAGGATCGCCATCAAAGGGAGAGATCCATCAATGTTTCACGAAATAAAAATAAAAAAAGATAATGAACAGCGTCACGTTTCTTTCGAACGATCGATACGAAGCCAGTTCCACGGAGACGAGAGAAATCGATACGGAACAACGAAAACACACGCAATGTCATGTTCGTCGTTACTTTTTTCGCCCGGTAATAAGCGTGTATTAATTATGATGTAAGTTCGAGCAATCCAGGTTAATGAGAACCACGCACGGTAATTAAACGTACGACCTTCTGGCCGCGGTACACGAAACGGTCGCAGTCAAACGGTGAAGGGGATGCTTCGAACTCGGACCTCGGACTAACAACGACCAGTTCAGAACAATTAAACGACGCTAATTCAATTGTAATTAAACGAGCGATGCGTTGATTTCTATTTTTGTAACCTGAGCGATCGTTTCAACGTTTCTTGCAAGCATAATAAGCGTGTTCGATGCATCGTTTTCTTAATAATGGTATCTGAAAGTTTGGCTAGTTCTTTTCGAATCTACACGAGCTTATTTAGGGTTCTACATACGCAAGACACTAACAACGTGGCTTGCAACCCACAACAAGGGTTTTCGACTCAGAAATACCAGTCCTCTCGACATTCCCCGTTCCATCGAGGTACTTAAAACGACACCATCTTGACTCCAAGTACCGTTGCATGCAAGGACGTTTTCCCTCGAGTCCCTTCTTTTTATATTATTCCAGCGATTCAAATTAGCAAA